GAAGCGCGAAGAGATTGTTGAATACAGCGACGCCATGCGATCATACTGGGAGAACACTCTTGTCGACACCGGCCTTGCATTCGACTCAGTCAGCATCCTGCCGTTCGACGAAGAGGTGGCAGCCCTCGAAAAGCGGGACGACGCTGACCCCAAGCTTCTCGCTCGCATCCATTTCAGCGGTCTTGTTGACGACGAAACGGGAAAGAAGCACGAGATCATCGCCAACCACTTCGAAGGGAACAACACCGTGCTGCACCTTCCCGGGCTGAATCAGGAGGAACTGGCATCTCGCGACCTGAGCAAGCGAGCTGGCGCAGCAGGCTTCAAGATCTCTTACACCACACGCAAGCTGTCTCTACTCACCCGCAGCCATCAGTCGGAGATGTCAGGTTTCATTGCGGCTGCCTGGGCCCTTGCTTCGGCAAACAACCAGTTGGAAGACTATATTGGTTTTGCCAGTACGGACCACAGTGCAAACTTCTACTACCGCATTATCCCTGAGCTCTACTCGTTTGGACTCAACTACGAATCAGTTGATATCTGTGGTGGCATGGCTAGCTTCTTGTAAGCTGTAATTTTTCTGGTGCAATCAGAAAACGGAGCTGCGAAACAGTTTTGCTGGATACAGAAGCTCCAGAAATGAGTTAATTAGTTTGATATTCAAGAGGACGGGATGGCGATGAAGTAATGGTAGCGAAAGTAGTTTGTATATAATCAAATAATCACTACTTCACCTGATCAGATCCGCTCCACATGCTTCCCACTTGTTGCTTAGTGAACCAAAGGGGATGGTCAGTCATTCACGGACTTCACTATGTGAGCGAATACTTCTCGCTGCTCATGTGGGCGGGTAATCGCTATCCGTACTAACGACAACAAGAACGAATAATGCCGATGACCGTTGTGACAACAACAACAACAACAACAACAACAACAACAACAACAACAACAACAACAATAATAATGAAAACGGCAGCGACTATGACGACGATAGCGATGTCGACGAAAGAGACAAAAGGAAGGATACTGAAGATGAAAATGGTAAAAACAACAGAGTTACTCAAGTAGCTAATGAGAGCAGTGTTGGCTTGATGAGAGCCCGACAGCGAACTCTAATTCACTCGTGTCGTGGAATGGAGCCTCGACGCGATCTCTCAATCTTTGATTATGGTGTAGTCAAGTAACATATCGAATGTTTGTTATGAACTGGTGGAGAAATTCACCTGTTCAACTCAGCCAAAATTTCCCGGCCAGCCTACTTCGAACAAGAATGGTAAGTGGATGACGGGGGTTTACGCAGTTAGAAACGTAGGTGACAGTTTTTGGAGGTACATCTAGATGAATAAAGCGACAGGAAACAAGCAGTGTGTAGTCTATGCACAGTATTCAGCTGGGCAAGGAACATTAGGCTCAATAAATAGTCTATGCAAGGAGTTATCATTAAAATTAGGATCTACAATCTTCAACATCGTGAACAGCCAATCCAATCCTAGGCTCAAGCAAAAACATGCTCTTGGATGTAGGCGATCTCAGTTGCCCTGTAGTCATCCCTCTCAATGTAGCCAAGCTTGGAGTAGTTGGCGTTGAAGACTAGGTTGAGCGGCTGATCAGGCGTGTATTGGGGCCAGACAAGACCCTTGGTCCAAGGCCAAGGCCAGCCGTTGCACTGATTGGGGTCGGTGTCGTGGATGAAGGCCACCCACATCTTGCTCATCTTGTCGGCCAGCTGAACATACGACTGCGGCTTGCCCTCAAAAGGATTGGCGGCATATCCGAGACCATTGACGTTGTTGAAGACGAACGCGACCTCCTGGAAATGAGTGGCGCCGTAGATGGGTCCGAGGCCGTTGACGTACACGTTCCAGCGGTAAGAGTAGACGGGGATGCCGGCGTCAGAATACGAGCTGGCGAGAAGGCGTCTACCGCTGTGCTGTTGATAGTCTCCTGCGACGGCCGCAACACGCTTCCATTGGGAACCGAACGCAGTGCCAGTGGGTCGATCGGGATACGACGCTGGGATACCGACGGCGGGGTCATCAGGGTACAACTCCTTGAGAGCGGCGATCTGTGTGGAGTCGACCAGCAGACTGCTAGCGAGCCACGACTCAAACTGCTCCGTGGTGTTGATGCCCTGTTTGGCGTAGCCCGTGCCCTCGTCAAAGTTATTGCCCAGAAGGAGCGGAACGGGAGCGAATTTGCCCTCGGCAAGAAGCGTCGTGGCCTTGTCACTGATGAAGTCGCCGTCAATGACAGCGCTGATCGTAGGTGCGGTGACGCTCAAAGGGTTGGTGCCGTTGAAGATGGCGTTGAGGGTCTGCCATGGGAGCGCGCGCACGCAGGCCAGACGGTCGCTAGCATCCGCGCATCCAGTCTTGGCCAAGAGTGCCTCGAAGTACGGCTGCCAGGCATCAGCGCCGACGAACTTAGCGACAGAGCTACCACTCTCGAGGATGGCGCTGCGGAAGAGGTTGTCATGCTGTCCATCATAGGCAATGAGCTGCATGCCCAATGACCGTGCGCCAGCCGACTCGCCCCAGATGGTAACCTTCTCAGGGCTGCCGCCGAAGGGGGAAATATTCTCTTGAAGCCATCGCAAAGCCAAGCGCTGGTCCCTGAAGCCAATGTTGCCTGCGCCGTCGTTCTGAAGTTCCTGGCTAAAGAGGAAACCCCAGTAGGAGAGACGGTAGTTGATGCTGGCAGCGATGATGGGCTTGTTCTCCTTGACGGACTGCTCGACGATGTAGCTAAGGTTGTATCTCGGGTCGCGAGAGCCGCCGTTGACGTAACTCTGCCGAGGTGAGAGTCAGTGATGGCCGTCGTCTCAAGTTGGGAAGAAGTTTACTTACGCCGCCGTGAACCCAGATACCTACGGGGAGGTCATCTCCAGGCTTCGTGCCGGCCGGACGAACGATGTTGATCGTCAGGCAGTCCTCTGAGACTAGGTTGCCCAGGTTGGCAGTATCTGAACCATACCCAATGCACATCCATCCATATTCGGTAGCGTTCCTCGTCTCCTCAAACGAAGAGTTCAGCGGCTGAGGTGCTGCATAGCGAAGGGAGCCAATGGGGGGCTGCGCGTATGGGATGCCCAAGAAGAAGTCCTGAGCGTACTCCTCGTTCCGGACACCAACATACGTTCCATTGGACAGACGCACGGAAGGAGGCGAAACGTCATGGTGACCCGGGAAGCACTCGGACAGGTCAAAGCCCGACAGGAGCACCAGAAGAAGGTTAATTGCGTTTGGACGCATTCTGGGCAGTTTCAACGTCGTCGAAGGGCTCGAAGGAAGGCTTCTAGAAGTCAAAAAGATGAGGAGGGTGGCAGGTGGCTGAAAACGGCGCGTCTCATGTCAATCGCAGAAGAACTGATTTTGAACCTGCAGAGCTGCACGTTGTCGAGCTAGCCGGGAGGCAAGGAGTCGGCAGCCAGTCGTGGCATTTTGTCAACTAATTGCCTCATCGCCATCCAACGGTCGACGACTTCTCCCGACATTGCCTAGAGACTAACGGTTGCGACGGCGTCGCTACTAGGTGCTAATTGGGATAGTAATCACCGATCGGTCGTGGGACTATCGATGAACCCTAGATCGAATATACTCCCATGACACCATCTAGCCCCTTCCTCTGCCCCTTGGGGTGTCTTTTGGGGTCCGGGGATCGGGGAGGACCACGAGCCTTTGCAGGCCGTGTGCATGATTTTCCCTACCCAGATTGCGAAGAGCTCGCATGGCCCCCATGAGGGTTCGTAGTTGCTGCCAGCTTGCATTCGTGGCCCTTAATCTCATCTCGTAATTGCATGCTGTTGGTGTCTAGCGTCATTCCAACCTCTTGCGGACCATCGGCCAAGCGTTGCTAGTTTCGGCTTAGCATGGCAAAATGGTGAGACTACGCTACCGCCTAGCCACCTTCGCCCGTTGGTCAACGGCTAATGACTTCCAACTTGATGACCTCGGTTAATCGAGTCTAGAAGCCCCGGTTCATGTATAACCGGGAGAATCCCACAGTCGCACGAATGGGATCTCGCCCCGGTTGATCCACATCATTTGAGTTCGACGCTAGAAGGTTTACCCCAGCTAGTATGTAAGGCTGGGATCTCTTGGCCTGGCGTGATCTTTGGAGAAGAAAAGGGCGGAGTCTTCAGCTGGGTTGCGTTGGCGTGGAAATTGTTGCCTGATGCAGGTGGGAATCTCGTGTTGCAGAACAAAGGAATAAGGAAATATCGCATGCAGACTGCTGGAGAACATTGTTGGTTGCAAGAAATTTTCCGGGTGAACGGGAAGACATCTCAATGATTGATGAGAGGGAGAAGAAAAAAGCAAGAATTACTCGTTGGAAAGATCAACCGAGTAGCGAGCCGAAGCCGACGCGTTTGCCGAATCTCCGCCTCCGTAGAATCCGGCTTTTGCAACGCCACATTACTTGATTTGGGGGCCCAACATGCCAGTCTAGTGAAGTGGTGTGAAGAAGCCATGGAAGGATGCAAATGCATGTTGGGAGTTTCGTGTGCGACTGCCAATCTCCCATCTGCCCACCGTCACCCTTGAGGTTGCACCCCCCTACAGCCTGCAGGGCGACGTTCAAGCAGATAGCCAGTCGGCCGACAAATCGGGGCAGGAAAGCGGGAGACTGAACGTCCATCCGAACTCCGTATCTCTAACTGGGACGACTCGGCTCGCCCTAGCGCACACACATGATTGTAACTTTCGCCCTGGTTTCGAGGGGGGCACATAGCGCGAAAAGAGTCGGGGACGTCTTTCCCAAAAACCACTAAACCAGCTGTTCTCCTCGGGGAGGGAACCTTTGTTGTGCCTGGGATACACCCTTGCAAGGAGCGCTGATCAGGAAAACTTACGAATATGCTGGTTTCCATATTATGAGGGTGCGGTGCACCTCTGCTGTTGGGGGCTGTTGGTCGAACTCTTGCGAGATCTGACGATTTTCAACCCAAGCTTTTGTCCACAGAAAACTGTGGCCCTGGGGCTTGTGCCGCAAAGCCGACGATGGTCGACGATAGAGGCGGCCGGCTGCTTGCTGCAACTTGGTCGTTGGTAGGCGCAAGCGCCATACTATTATTCCTCAGAATATACTGCAAGATATGGCGTGGTAGGGGACTTTGGTGGGACGATCACTTGCTCATTGGCTCTTGGGTATGTGTGCCGCTCTTCTCGCATCTTTTCATCGCGAACGACCAACCTAATTGTGCTGTGTGCAAAGGCTGCGTTGGCGATTTCCGTTTCCATCAACTCTTACATCGTATCGCTGGGGTTTGGTCGCCACATATGGACCATCAGCGACGAAAACCGAAAAGAGATCAACCTCTTCACGATCCTGGTCGCCACCTTCGGAATCATCGCGACGACAACGAGCAAATCGTCCTTCGCGCTCACGCTATACCGAATCGTAACCAACAACTGGACAAAGTACTTTTTGATTTTCGTCATCGTGTCGATCAACATCTCGATGAACCTAGTCTGGATATTTGGGTTCGCCAAATGCACACCCCTGGAGAAGGTCTGGGATGGCAGTGTCCCCGGAACATGCTGGGATAAGACCAAGTTGGTTCGATACCAGCTCTTTGCAGCATGTAAGTTGATGGCCGTGGTCACGAACTCATTTCACCGTACGGCAACGAAGCTAACATGCATCCATACAGATTATTCAGCTGTCCTGGACTTCGTGCTGGCATTTCTGCCCTGGCCGATCCTGATGAGGGCAACAATGAGACGTCGCGAGAGACTCGGTGTTGCCATCGCCATGAGTCTTGGGGCTATGTAAGATCTACGATCCGGATCTCGCGGATATAAAACTGACGACAGACTTCAGTGCGGGAGCTTGTGGAATTGTAAAAGCTGTTCTGGTCGTATCGATGACTAGCACGGATATCACATACGATCGTGTCGACCTCACCATCTGGACTTTGACAGAACCAGCCGCCTCCATCATGGCTGTCTCGATTCCCGTCCTGTCAGTATACTACGCACTGTGTTTGTGCCTCATCCACTAACGTCTGTACAGGAGAATGCTGTATCGCGAGCTGAAGTCCGCTTCGAGAAGTTATGGAAGGAGCAGATCACAGACGAATGCCCTCGAGACGGCGAAGACGGCCAGGACGAAGCGATATGGACAGGGCACGCATTACGGACGGAACTCTGTCGTCGTCATGTCGACGACGGGATGGCAAGAATCACAAGAAGCCTTGCAAGATGTGGAAAGCGGCCAGACTACGCCGCGAGGGATTATGAAAACAGAAGAAGTCAGGATACGGCACGAGAGGATGCCACCTGCAGGCGACAGCAAGAGCTCCATTGAGCTTGATACTTTTCGGTAGACCGGACTTTTTGGACCATTGGGAGCATGGGAAGCGCGAATGATACCTGGGCAGTATGCACCTACTTTTCGTTTTAGTAATGAGATAATGAAGACTCCTATTTGTTTTCAAATAAAGTGATGTATGAGAGCCAGCGTTGTCGACAAATGAGTGAGACTTCAACGGGTGCCTTCCTACATTTGACCAAAGTATCTTCAATGATACGTGGCAGACTCAATTCTAGGCGTGGGCGGCCTCGCATAAACTCTGATTCCATTGTGATTTCGGTGTTGCTTCAGGAGGGTGCTGTTGGTTGGGCGGTCTGGAACGCCCACATCTTTATGCAACAATAAGCTTTGTTGGTAATCAATCAAACAATGTCTCACATGTAAAGAAGAGAAACAAGAGATTCAGTTACACTCGTTCTCGTGAACATTTCAATGCGACCCTACGGCTACGATTAGAAACAAAACGCAAGTGGCACCCTGCCGAGCGTCCGAGGATACGCCGAGTCGGCACGGGGTGGGGCGCGGCCCAGGCTCATAAGATTTCCGGCGGGCCGGACCGGGAGCCAGGGCCGGGCACCGGAGAATTCGCAGGCACGTCATCAGCTTGCTCGAGTCAAGCGAGAGCGACAATAACCGCGGTCTCAGACACTGAAGTGGAATATGCAACATGATGAAGTTAAAGTCATGCCTCTGTTATCGCAAGTCTAAAATTCGCATTCTATCCGTAAAATAATTCTGCGCTCCTTGACGGCGTGTTGTCGTGTCTCCCTGAAACTTATCTCAAGTCTATAACCAATTACCCATATAATCAACAACGCTAAACTTTTGTTGTCCATCAATCCTTCGTATCAAGTCATTTCAGTCATGAATTAGTGCGCCATCACAGGACCGTTGACGACTCTGCCAACGTCCTTAACCCCGAAGATACTCGCAACAACACCAACACCGGCAAAACCAACGCAGCACCATAGACCGGTTCCGTACTGTTGCAAGATACCGTGTCCGTTCTTTGTGTCGACCGCCTGTACAACGGCGCTTGCAACTGCAAGCCCAAAGCCGCTGCCGATCTGGAACGCAGTGTTTATCATACCGCCGCAGAGACTCTTGACATTGACTGGAACTGAAGCCAGGAGTACGACGGTGATAGTGCAGTACACGATTGTCGTTCCAGCGACACCGATGACAGTTGTAGGAAAGATGTGCTTCCAGAAGTTGAGGTCGTCATCCCTCATGAGCGCGGCAGGCACAGGCGCGATGGCACAGATAGCCATGCCCACAGCGAGAAGCCACTTGGGGTTGAAGATCTCCAGCATGCGAGACATAGAAAGGCTGAAGATGAAGCCCGTGGCACCCATAGGAAGGAAACGAAGTGCAGTCTGGCCGGCGCTGAGCTTGTTCACTTCCTGCGCAATAAGGGTCGTGTAGTAGATGGTCGTCTGGTATCCGCCGTACATGACTGTCCAGGGGTTAGCACATGTCTCTGAATCGATAGTTCGCATACTGGGCAAGACTTACCGAATCCGCCGATCCATAAAGCAGCAAAGTTCTCAAGCTTCCACAGCGAAAGTGGCATGATGGGGTTGGCCACCTTCTTCTCCACATAGGTGAAGGCAACAATCATGGCGATGCTAACAATGAGCAGAGCGATGATGAACGCTTTACCCCAACCGTACTCGCCACCGCTGGAGAGCACGAAACTGAGAAGAATGAGTCCAGCTGTCGAGAGACCAGCACCGACAAAGTCTAGCTTCGGGCGCGAGGTGCCCTCCATGCGGTCTTTGGGAAGGAGGAACCATCCAATCGTACCGAGGGTGCCGGTGACCGCGACTGGGATGTAGAAAATGTATCTCCATCCCAGTGACGATGTCAAGAAACCTCCAAAGATTAAGCCTAGGCAGAACCCAACAGCTCCGGCGGCACCAAAGATCGTCAGAGCGAGAGTTCGGTCCTTGGCGACGAAATAGTTGCTGATGATGCCGACCGCTGACGGTACTGTCATGGCGGCGCCGATACCCTGTAGGGCTCGGAAGATTGAGAGCTGGATAAATGAGGTCGCGAAACCGTTGGCAATAGTCCAAATGCTCAAAGTCGCCATGCCAGAGCAGAAAATCAATTTTCTTCCGAAACGGTCGGCCAGGACTCCGGACAACAGCAGAAAGCCGCCGAAAGTCAAGGTGTAAGCCGAGATAAGCCACTGCAGCTCCCCGCTCTTGACGTCAAAGTCTTTCTGGATAGCTGGAAGAGCGATGTTGACACCTGTCCTGTTGAATAGTTAGTACCTTCTCTTTTGAGGCCTTTTCCGCCAAAACTTACATGAAAACGTTGTCCATCAGTTGTGCTCCGCAGGTGCAGAGGAGTACGATCGCTCCGCGAAAGGAAGCGACGGTGCCGACGTCTGGGTAAGCTTGCCCCGCACCGATTTCGTATTCGGCCGGTGTCTGAGTACCGGACCTCTCTCCTGGGGATGGCGGTCCTGAGGCGAAGCCGGAGACTGGTGATGGTGGCCGCGTCGATTGCGGTGTCGTAAACTCGGACGGAACTTCTCGAATGGTGCTGACGGGACCAGGCTTGGCGGCGCGAGGGAATGCAGGGAGCTCGAAGACGTGGTCCTGAGACTCACGCCTGTCTCGCGACCGGTGGCGGCTCAGGGCGGAGGCACTCAGAACGAGTTCCTCCATATCTTCCGGGCGCTCATGCTCAAAGGTGACTCGCGAAGTCTGCGAGACGGTGCTCCTGCGCCGAGTAATGGGAAGACCTGGGAAACCGGGTGGCGGGACGAAGGTAGGAACTTCTTCAAGTGCTGAGGTACGGCGACCGAGAGACTCGCCGTCCGCGTCAACAGAGACACGGCGGGTGTCGAGGGAGTGCTTCTCGTGCGTCATCTTGAGTTGTTGTCTCCAAGCAAACAGCTGGAATTTCCGAGACACAAACGCAGGATTAACGTCAACGGCGGGAGATGACGATGCTGTAAAGGGGCATGGGCAGTTGTCGTTCAAATACGCTCGAATGCGGTGTGTGAAACAGTGCGGCCATCTTCCGAGGGCTCTCACAAAGGTTGCAGTGATGTCAAATAAATCCTTATCAGTTGGGCGCTGTTCGCCACATGGCAGACTCTGCTCCCGACCTCAGGCGATTCACATGTCGTGATGCTCCACAGAGTTTCCACAGCTTTTGCGCGCCAATCCTACTCAAAGTTTCCCCATCGTGGAGTTGTGGAAAATTCGAGATTATCTAATCTTGTAGAACAGTCTGGACATGGGGTCTAATGAGTTGCTCGAACAGCCCTCGTTGACAGAAAAGCTTCTAGATAGCTTGGCATGGGGGTTCACAGACCATTTCAGGCTGCGATATCGCCAATTTGAAATTTTCATAGGGCTGAATGAGCTTAACAAATGCTGAAAACCGATTCATGAACTTGAATGTCCGGCACAGGTTCCGCTCTCACAGCCGTCATCGGGGTCCACTTGCAAGACTTTCACAAGGATCCAGACGCTTGCGCCACATGCCGCTGACGCTTGGTATTTCCTATCCTGCTCAGATAGGCAAGTTTTCGGCGCGAACTCCCAAACTCTTTTTGTCTCTCAGGACGGTATCCCACCTTATCTTGCTTCCAGTTGCCCGCTGCCCTGATCTTAGCACCCAAAGCCCCTCTGGTTCCCTGTCGATCAGAACCCTTTTGCGCGCCGCCACGTCTTGGGCGACTGTCACCCTGCGATGCACCACGATGAACTTGCATCGCATCACATATTTTTGAAAGGCCACCGCTATTTCCAAAACCAATCGGAGCATTCTCCAGTAATTGTAGATTTCTCTGAGCTAAAACATCCCGCGATACCCTTGCCACGTGGTTCTCCTGGAAGAATGGTTCGCTATCACATGTCTTGTTGAGCCGTCGAGAAGGAATTTGCAGCGTTTGTGCAAAGATTGCAGCGGCCAATTGAGAGTGACGCTCGGAATTGTGCCCCGAGAGCTGCAAAATATTCATCCAAATCGCCTGATGCCCCCCACGCTCGCACCCTGTTGAAGATCGCGATATTTCATTAGAGCCCAACGCGAAAATATCGAAATTTGCGGTTGTCCCTTTGTGATATCGGGCACGAACGAGCTCGCGGCCCGAAAACACCAGGATAATTGGTTGACAAGAAATTGTCCCTCGATTGCGTCTCAACATCCTGTCACTCTCACCTCATTTCTCGCTGAATTCAAATAGCCCTTCCGAATTATTAGGCCGTATGAGTTGGGCCTTTCTCTCAACTCCAACACTGTCTTCCTCTCCTCCGCTGATGCGGGACATTGTGGATCATGATCGGTGCTCCATCGCCTTCTCTACAGTGAATGTTCTGAGGAGTCCCGGGGCGCCGAAACTGGGGATTCCCGTCCCAGTGCCAGAGTCCAAATTTATTCAGCAGGTTCAAGCTCAAAGTATAGCAAGTACATATAAAAGACAGGTCTATAGAGATGGACGTATGTTGACATGAGCAGATTAACTTTGTGAGTGACAGTCGAGTTGAAATGGGACCCGCCCGGGCCACCCAATGACTGCATATTTGAGTCTAAAGTGCATCAACTTCACATCCAGGTTATTCAATACGACGAGCTACAACAAAAAAGCTTGCAGATATGCAAAGAGGGAATGAGATTTGCTTTTCAGGCGGGTACTTCTAGCTAACCGGGCGGACAACTACCTATGAGCTATCAAACGATGATTGCTCTTATCATTATCGTTGCTTGCCTTGGTGTAATCATTCTTACTGTTGTCATCATTGTCGTCCTGATCAGTAGTATCGTCTGTTATGATCATTTGTCGTCTTTATTATCGTCTATTATCGTCTTTCGACGTCGTCTACCATCATCGTCTGTCGTTGTCAAACAGCAGAAGGCAGATGCACGTGTTAATTGTAACACAAACACGAGAATTTCAAAACAGTGAAGCATACCTCGACTTCGAGATACCGGTTGTCTTTGTGACAATGAGCTTACAAAATTTACCAGTTGTCAAGTGGTATCAGAAGA